GAAGCCGGCTCTGTGCTGACAGCAGAAAGTCTGATGTGGGGCTTGAATTCACGAACTGTGAGATCATGACCTGAGTCGAAGTTGGACGCTTAACTGAGCCACCCAGGTGCCCCCCAGAAGGCTTTCTTTTAAACCCAGGAATAAAACAAGGATGCCTGCTTTCATCACTCCTTTTCCACATTGGAGAACCTAGCCTATGCAACAGGAAAAGAAAAAAAAGAAGGGGTATAAGGATTGAAAAGGAAGAAATGCAAGTGTTCTCTTATGCAGACTACAATTATCTACAGAGATAATTCCAAAAAATTTACAGATAAACTATTAGAAGTATTACATGAATTCATGAATATTGCTGCACACAAGGTCAACCGAGAAAAATTACTAGTCTTTCTACTCATCAATCATGACCAGGTAGAAAATATAAAGGGAAAAACAAAGATCTTATTCATAATGGGAAGATAAAGTATGAGATGCCCAGTAATTAATCTAATGGAAGACAGGAGAATTTTTAGGGAGAGAATTATAAAGCCTTGTGGGAAGAATACAAGAGATGACCTGAAAATAAACCAAGAGACATATGTTCATGGATCAGAAGACTCTGTATCCTAAATATTCCAAAGTCTCCCAAATAATCTATAAATTCAACTGAATTTTAATTAAAATCCCAATGAAGTTTTTTTTTTATTGTACTTGACAAACTGATCTCTAAATTCATATGAAGAACAAGAACTAGATAATTTTGGAAAAGAACACAAGGAGGTGGGATGGAAGGAAGGCTTAACCTACAAGATACAAGACTTAGTGGTGTTACAAGGGAATAGTAATTAGAGAGTGGGGTGGTGATCAGAACAGAGAGCCCAGGAAGAGACCCACGCACATATGGAAATACTAGCTGGCATTTCAAATCCACAGGAGAAAGAAATTACTTTTAAAAATAAGTGATGCTTGGAAAATTGGGTATCCACAAGGAAGAACAAATTAGATTCCTACTTCCATACCCCAAAATAAATAACCAAAAAGCTAATCTTTAAAACTTTTAGAAGAAATACGGAGAGCTCTTTATGACCTTTGGGCAGATTATGATTTCTTAAATAGGAAGCAAAAATAAATCATAAAAAGAATGACATTTTACCTGTTTTATTTAAAAAATTTTTTTGATGTTTATTTATTTTTGAGAAAGAGAGAGACAGAGTGCGAACAGGGAGAGAGGCAGAGAGAGGGAGACACAGAATCTGAAGGAGGCTCCAGGCTCTGAGCTGTCAGCAAAGAGCCCAATGTGGGGCTTGAACCCATGGAGCCATGAGATCATGACTTAAGCCGAAGTCGGATGGACACTTAACCAGCTGAGCCACCCAGGGACCCCACATTTTACCTGTTTTAAATGAATGAACACTGTCTTTTCAAAAAAGACATCATAAATTCACTTGAAGAAAAGGCTCAGACTAAGGGAGTATTTGCCACACAAAGAACTGACAAAAGATTAGTATCTACAATTTGTTTTGTTTTAAAAATTTTTTTAATGTTTATTTATTTTTGAGAGACAGATCATGAGCGGGAGAGGGGCAGAGAGAGAGAGAGAGAGGGAGACACAGAATCCGAAACAGGTTCCAGGCTCTGAGCTGTCAGCACAGTGCCTGATGCAGGGCTCGAACCCACAAACTGTGAGATCATGACCTGAGCCGAAGTCGGGCGCTTAACCTACTGAGCCACCTGGGTGCCCTTAGTATCTATAATTTGTAAAGAAAGCATACAAATCATATAGGAAAGAGGTCAACCGCGAAATAGAAAAATATGCCTAGAGTATGAAGAGGCAGTTAAAAGAAAAGGAGATCCGAATGGGCAATTTCACTAATAAGCAAGGAAATAAAAGTTTAAACTACATGAGATACCATTACACATCTATTAGACTGGCAACAATAGAAAAGGGATACTGCCAAGTATTTACAAGGACATAGAGTAGATAAACTGAAATTCTCACAGGCTGCTGGAGGGAGAATAAATTGGTGCAATCACTGTGAAGAACAATTTGGCAATGTCTAATAAACTTCAGATGTGCATGTCCTTCAGCTCTTTAATTTCTAGAGAAATCCTCACATGTGAACAAGGAGGCATGTATAATACATGGGTAAGAATTCATTACAACAATGTTCATATTAGGGAAAAACTGGAAATCTATATATCCCTCAACTGGGGAATGAATAAATAAATGGAACACGACAGAGCAGTGAAAATGCTACATGTGTAAACATGGAAAACTTTAAAAAATGTAATGCTGAGAAAAAACCACTTTGGAAAAGGACGTATAAAGTGGGATACATTTTACATGAAGTTGAAAACATGGATATTATATATAGTACATATATATTATGCAATATTAGCATACAAGGGAATGATAACTATTAGAATTCCACAGAGCTGGGTGTTGGGGGCTTAAACGTAAGATATGTTAGTGTCTTTACTTCTTTGTTGAAATATTATAGTAAAAATCATAATAATCCAGATCTATGTGACTGTCAGATCAGATAAGATGACTCCTAGTTTCCTTATGCATGCATATTTCATGACACAGGGGCTCCCTCTACATCCTGAGCTCCCTCAGGGGCATTATCTTCCTCCTTTCTATATTCCTAGGGCCTAGCACAGTGTGGATATTCAACCACGTTTGTTGACTGAATGACTGATGGATGGACTGAATGTGGAAATGGGTCAGAGGGGAATGCAAAAGGAAGAAGGTTAGGAGGAGGATGGATGGAGAGACTGACAATACTTTGCCTGAATGTGATGTGGGCTCCTAGGGAAGGCAGTAGATGGACTTCAGAAAAGCCAGGGAAAGGAACCTAGCTGGGCTTGAGGCATGACTGGAGAGAGAAGTCAAGGATGTTTCCCTGAACCTCTCACTTGGGGGCTGGAGATAGTGAGTCACCACCTGACATTTTATGTGTCTAGAAAGGGAACCCTGAAGGACACATAGACTTAAGAAGATAAGTTTAATTTAAGACTGCTGTGAGACCTCCAGGCATAATTATCCAGCTTGTACTAGGATATTTAGGTCTACAGTTTAGGAGAGAGGCCAGGACTAGAGGTGTTGATTTGGTTGTGTTGGAGAAAGAGGGTAAGTAAGGGCGGTTCATAAGGTTCCCCAGGGCAGTACACAAGGTTCCCCGGGAGGGCGGGTAGAATGAGGAGGGCTGGTGACTGCAGACAGACCCTTGGGAGCATCAAAGATTTAAGGGCTGAGTGGAGAGACAGAACCCAGGCAAGGAGGCTGAGACAAGAGTCCAGAGAAGGGAGGGAACGAGAGAGGCAAGGCAACAAGTTTTAGGAAAGGGAGTGGGTTCAGTGGGGTCAGATAAGGAAGAAAGGTACAGAAAGATAAAAACTGAACAGGGTCCTTTGAATTTGGTGAGAGAAGGCCATTTGTGGTCACTGGAGAGGTGAGCGGGAAAGAAGACTGCATTGTACTGTGAATCATGATGAGCTGAATATAAGCAAATGTAGAAGAGTGACTCTTGAAACCCACTTTTTTTCCAGATGCCTGGACTTAAAGGGTGGGAAAAGATAGGTCGCTGAAATCACAGGCCGGGTTGGGAGTTGGGACATAGCTGGCTCTGAATAAACTCAGGGAAGGAATCTGAAGAAAGAGAGGTTTAATATGTGGGAGAGAGAGGAGATAATTGATGAACCAAGATTTTGGCAGAAATGTAGGAATGCGCTAATACTAATACCAACGGTACTAATTAGTAGTGGTACTACTAACACGAGCAAACATTTACAGAGTACCTACTATGTACCAGATGCTCTTCTAAGTGCTTAACATAACTGTAACCCATTTAATTCTTACAGCAATTCTATGAGGTAAGTGCTATCATGACCCCATTTCACAGATGAGGAAATGGAGATACTGAAAAGCAAAACAATGTCATCACTACCACTTGTTGATCTATTTTTATTTATCAGGAATATTGCTGCTGATAACAGCTCCCTAATGTGTTAGTAGATCAGTTTTACATAGTAGGTATAATAAGAACACAGAAGCAGTAAGGACACAGAAGGACAGTTTGCCTTGGTCTCTGACTTTGGAGGGAAGTGGGCGAAGGGTGGGTGTGGACACAGAGATGGGTGTGGACTTCGAGGAGGGGTGGAGAGAAGGCAACGGGAGTTGAAGGTGGTTCAGGCTAATGACTTTGAATTCTTTGGCTAAGTAGAGGAGGAACACACTTGCTGTGGAAAACATAGGTAACAATAAAAGAAAATAAAAATTCCAAGCCCTTGCCATAACTACTTTTAGAGTTTTTGTTGTGTTTCCTTCCAAAATTTTCTCTAAGCATATGTATACAGGCATAAATACATATCTGGGGAAGTCAGTCCTTCCTTCTGATGGAGAGAATAAGAGTCAAAATAAACAAACCCAGCAGAATCCAAACCCTATAATTTTGGAGCTACAAGCAGAACAGTTCTGTGTAGGGGAGATAGTTATTTGACCTCTTTCCCTTCTCCCAAGAAATCTCCCTCCAGGTTTTTAGTTATGTGAGCCCTACAAAGACCCTCTTCTGGAGTGCAAAGGTGTGTGACCAGAGGAAGCCAACCTATCTTGCACAAAGTATTGAAAGATCACCTCCGTAGTGAGGCAGTAGAGATGCATTTCTGCAGAGAGTTTCCTTGGAGAAATGTTTCAGACCTAAGTATGAATTAAGCTCAATCCTAGTGGCAGAGTAACATACCTATTATGAGCCAATTGCATGTAAAAACAAAAACAAAACAATATTTATATGTGTGTATTTGTTTTTGTTTCAAGGTAGATTGCCCTAGTTTAAACAAGTGTGTGTGTGTGTGTGTGTGTGTGTGTGTGTTCTCTTCATTGAGGAAGTGTCAAAACACATTCTGGCCTCAGGGATGTAGTTCCCAACAGAAACTGGGGGTGGGATTGGATGGGGCTTCCTGGAATCACCGAAGGGAAAATCCAAGCAATGGGTGCCCAGTGAGTGGCCCAGTTGTCTGGGGAAATGGTGTGGGGTACGACAACCCTCTTTGTATCTGGAGGGTGTAGAAGACTAGCCAACAGATCCTTGGGAGAGGTTGTAGGGGAGATGAAGGTGAGTGGCTCTGACTCTGGGGAGTGGAAGGGACTGGACCCTGTCCTGATCCTACACTTTGGGTCAGCCTGAGGACAAATAGGGAAAGTGATCGATGGACACAAGAACCCAAACTGCACCTTTCCAGCCTGTCCTCCAGAAATACTTGTTCAAGTAAGAACAATGCTTCTATAAAGGTAGGATCCTGCTCTACACAGTTTTCACTTAATGATATAGTAAATATCTTTCCATTTTATTCAGGGTTCTATGTCACGGTGTTCAGTCACCACTTCATTGTGAATGGACCATGGCTTATTAACTCACCCTTTTTGTTGGAAACTCCAATCAGACTGAATCTCCTTAGAGACCAAACGAAGCCCATCTTGGGAGCTGGCCAGTGCTTTATCTTCCTGCTCTTATAAGGGCCAGCTAAGTCAGTTCCTCCCTCGCTCACCTCTCAACACCTTTCTGTGTGGTTCCGGACCACCTGTTGAAGCCCCAGCATGCCTGGCTCTGAGTCTCACAGAATTATTGGGAAAAGGAGGCCCAAGCACACTGAGAAAACACCGAGGCAAAGGCATGGCTGGGATCCCAGCACAGAGCCCTGTCCTCCCGCAGTTAAGTCTTGGCTGAGCTGAGCCCTTTCCTCATAGTGTTTGGCTTGGATGCTAGACTAGGTGAGTCAGCGCTCCTGGCACCCTACTTTGAGTCAAAGTCACATTGAGATGGGGTAGTTGCCAGATCAGTATAATTATCAGTCTCTCCAACAACCCGAGTCCTCTCAGCCCTCTCTCTGAAACTAGGTCCCAGGATGTCCTGTGAGGATATAGGCATGGCCAGGCCACAGGAGCTGACCTCCATCAACTCTATAGTAGACAAGAGCCTCTTGAGACCTGGGTCCTGGTTCCTAAATGAAAGACACACTTCCCTCTGTGTCTCCAAATTCTTCATCTGGGCTTGAGGCCAGTGAGCACACACCTCCCAGATGACACCAGTCAGACCCGGTTGGAATCCCAGCTCCATCGCTGACTGGTTGGGTGATCTCTTTAAGTCCTCAGAGATGATTTTTCCTTATCTTTAAATTGGAAAATGTTATCTGTACTTATGAACATAAAGAGTCAATGCATATCAATGTAATAGGGACTTAAAAGTATATTTTTCACCAGGCACTAATACTGTATTATGGTTGTGAAAATCCAAAGTGAGATGCCAAGTCACCTAATGGAGAGATTTTCTAAGGAAATAGCAAAAATCTGTCCCAAGACTTTTGAAACCCCTTGTTCATGTTGAGACTCTGAGAAGGTAGAGATAGAGGAGACACGAGGATTTCCTTGAAGAAAGCTGTGTTGGTCGGGAGTGCCATCTTGGACAGGGTGAATTCCTGCTCTCACACTTTAAATTTAGTGAGGGTGTGTCCAAGAACAGAACGTGTGACCCCTGCAGCTGGGGTGGTTGCCTGGGCTCTTGTCCACCCGGGGAAGTGTGGAAGGTGCTCTCACTAGCAGCTTTGGTGGGGCCGTTCTTACCACACTGGGGCCAGCTTACTACCCAGAATTTTTGGGGATACAGGAAGCATGGGTTATGGGACTAGCTAAAGGCTGGAGCTGCACAGCCCAGGTGCTGAGGAAAGGGTCTCAGATGACCACCTGAAATGAGACTGAACTTGAGAGGCAGCCACAGGTTAGAGAGAGCTTCAAGAGAAAGAGGCCGAGTGGGGAAGCTGTGGAAAGGGCATTAAAGCACTTGGTGAGAAACAGTCAGAACTTAACATCTGTCTGGCAAGAATGCCTAAAGTCAACGTCCAGCCAGCTGCCCCTTCCCCGACTGCTCCCACAGACTGCCAGTTGTAGCCATGGCAACTGGCTGGGGAGGCCCGGGTGGAAAAAGAGAGAAGAAGCCAGATCCTTTACATTGTCCCCACCTCGGGCTCCCAGTTGGGCAGGGCTTGGCTGGGGGAGGAGAGGATTTAAGGTAAAAATAAGTCCAGAGTTTTAATGAATACCTTGCATTAACATTCTCATTTCTGAACTGACACTGTGTCTGCGCCCCAAAGTGACCACAGACCCTATCCTAAAAAGAAACACACAACCATCTCCCCCCACTCCCACTCACTGAGGGGGGTCTGGTTCACAGTCCTCTCTTGCCCTGACATACTTCTCCAGCTCCTATGCTACGCCTGAAGCATGTTGTCAGAATGTCAGGACCAACTTCTCTCGGCTAAAGCCATTTCTTACCACTGATTAACTTGAGCCTAATCTCTTTAGAAGAGAGAGATGGCTTCTGTGATAGGCCCAATCTTGCTGGGGGAGAGGACATGAAGTGTTTTTCCCATTGCCAGATGGGGGCAGTGCTGCCAGAGTCCGGCCAGCTGGCAGGATGGAGCAAGGCAGACTAACTTGGGCCATTTAGGTGTTATACTGGTGGGGGGTGGGGCCTTTGGCAGACTTAAACTCCTTGCCCCACTGGTTGCTTATCTGTAGAAACAAGTTAATAATAATGTATATCTCAGAGCGTTAAGAGTATGAAAGGAAATCGTGTATTAGGCCGAATCCTAGGAAATAGCCACTGTTTTCAATCGTTCTCTACTGTCCAAAAATGGCAATTTCAGATGGTTCATCCTAATATGTAAACAATGTTTTGCGAGCTCTAAGTTGTTAGTTATTGTGTTAAACAAAACAAAAGCCTTCCATCCACATTCCCTAATGAGTCTCCAGAATTCTGTTTGCAGGAACATCTCAAAGGCTCTGGTGATTTGTAAGGTAGCTACAACCCACAGCTCGACAGCCTGAGACCAGCCAATGCACAAGATCTTAGCTCCTTGCCAGCTTCTCTAGTACCCAGAAGACTCCTTCTCACTCCTCTGGTCTCACCGCAAACACTAGTACAAACCACAAACCCTTCCCACCCCAAATATGAACACCCTTCTACAATCACATCTGGAAGTTTCACTACAATGTGCCCAACTACATGGGCATTTATTATATTCATCCTGCTTAGTGCCCAGTGTATCCTTGCAATTCTGAGGATTTGAGTTTTTCAGGTTTGACAAATACTCATCCATTCTTTAAAAAAGATCGCTTGCATCAGATTGAAAAATCTGACTATATTAAAATTAGAAACTTTTGTATGAAAAAACCCCACTATAAGTGGAATTGAAAAATGATTCAGGGGGCTGAGTAGTGGAAGGAAAAAATGGGTGAAGGTGGTCAAAAGGCACAAACTTCCAGTTATAAGATAAATGAGTCTGGGATGTAATGTACAGCATGGTGACCACAGTTAATACTGTACTGAGTACTTGACCCCCACGTCGGGCTCTGTGCTGACAGCTCAGACCCTGGAGCCTGCCTCGGATCCTGTGTCTCCCTGTCTCTCTCCCCCTCCCCCGCTTGTGCTCTCTCTCTTTCTCTCAAAAATAAAATAAACATAAACAAAATTTTTAAGTAAAATTTAAAGCCAGGCATAAAAGCATCATATATGTTATATATACAGTAGGCTGGAAAGAAATACACGAATTCATCATGGCGATGGCTGCCTTAAAGAAAAAGGAGGAGGCGAGGAATTTGGGTCAGAAAGACCATCAGCTTTATCTGTAGTTTTATTTCTTTGAAAAAATTACTTGAAGCACATCTGGTAAAACATTATAAATTGCCAGTTCTGACTGATAGGAACACAATATTATATGATTTTTCAGTTCCATTTTGTAGTTTTAACATTTCTTTAAAAATTCCCCTCTCTCTTCTATTTTCTTCTTCTGGAACATCTATTAAAGGGATATTGGAACTTCAGAATTTATTTTCCCAATTTCTGAAATAGATTAATTTGTATTTTTCTTCTTCCCAAAGAATCCCTCAGCCCAATTTTCCAGTTCAGTAATTCTTGTAAACTGTAATTATTTTGTTATCAGTTCATTGGCTTAATTTTTTCATTTCCATTGTTGTATATTTACTTTTTAAGAGTTCTCATTGGTTCCTTTCCCTCGTAGCCTGTCTATTCTTGTTTCTTGGATGCCTCACTTATTCCCCTGAGGATTTGGATTATATTTAAGTCTTACACTTTGCTTCTGTAAATTCTTTTTCTATTGTGCGTTCAATTTCTTTCAGGGTGCTGGCCTTACTCAAATGTTTGCTGATTGTCGCCTGTGCTCGCCATTGGGGTTGAGAGGCCACGCTGGGCTCTGTTTGTGCTCCTTGCCTGGGGTGGGAGTGCGAGGGAGTAAGGGTGGGCGAGGGGAGGGTGGGCAGCTGGAGCAAGGTGTGGCAGAGGCTGGTCTGGTGGGTGTGGGCTTCCTGGGTGGCATGGCACACTGCCTTGTCTCTCAGACCTAAGCCCATGTACACTGCATTGCCTGGAGGGAGATGCCCCAGTGGCCTCTGACTGGCGGGGTTGTTTGTACTAATGTGGGCAGGGGTTGGTTTATAGACACCAAACACTACTCTTCTTGGTAGTTCTCCATTTGGGTAGCCCTGGCCCCATCCAACCTCCGGGCATCCTGTCCTCTGGCGCTCTCCTCTCCACGATTTGTTGTTTTCTTTCTTCCATCGACCCCATCAGCATTGCGTCTTCAGCAGTTCTCCGGTTTCTGATCCACCAAGGGACCCCTTCGTGATTCTGAGTTGCAGGTTGAGAAGAATATTTTGTCCTTCATTTCTTGGGAATGTGTCTTGTTTATAATCCATCATCTGTGAGTCTCAAGCAAGAAAGAGAGTTTAGGGTTAGCCCTGTAGATTTGGGAGTCATTTGAATAACATAAAGCTTGAAGCAGGGGAGGGAAAAAGATAGAACCTATGCAAGAGAGAGGGAAAGCCAGCCGAGGAGAGAATTTAGGAAGTTGCCCATGCTTACCGGGTTGGGATAAAACAAGAAACCCATGGGAAGGAGACTTGGAGAAGGGCAGAGGAGAGAGGAAGGTGGCAGGACCTGCCCTGCAATAAGGTCCAGAGGGCAACACTGAGGCAGCAGGTGGCTCCGGCGAGCTACCTCCCTGGAGGGGTGGGGCCAAAGCCTGATGGGGCGGGGTGGGGCTGGGGGAGGAGGAAGTAGAGGTCCCGGCTGTGGAAAAAAGCGCAGGGTGTGGAGGGGAACTTGCAGAGGGTGAAAAACAGCCAGGAGGGGGCTGTGGTAGACCTGGGGAAATCTCCTCCATTGACTTGAGGCCTGCTGATATCCACATGCGCGGAATCTTTCCTTTTTATAAGGACTCAAATGGAATTATCAGACTTGATCATTGTTTCTATTTGTAATGCATACCGCAAGAGGTATATTGGAAATGTGATTCCCGGTTATGAATCCATCTTTGTTTAGGAGCAATATCTTTGTTTTTTGGTTTTCTTTTCATGAATGGGGGAATTTTTCCACCTGACACTGAATGATGCAAGAAATGTACAATTAGGTGTCACAATTTTTTGTCCTGGGGAAAGTAGTAACAGGTGTAGTAGCACTTTCTGCGGTTGAAACAGGTATATGGCTGCTGTTCAGAGCTTGACCATACTCTCCAGAAAAGAGTCCTTTCTGTTTATTCTGTCACCAGGAGAGCCGTCCCAGCTCTGAGATCCACAACTGCCTAGACTAGCAAAGAAATCACACCTTTGGCATATGGCCAAATTGATGAGGTTACTACCTGGGTACTGCTTGGTACTATGAGAAGATGTGCCGGCTGTGTGAACCCTGTGACCGGTCTTTGAGTCCTAAACAGTCATCTCATTGCCGTACTGTGAAAGAAGGACATTACTGCCCCGCCCAGAGAGAGGAGTCCTGCCTGACTTAGGCAGATTACTGAAATTGAAGGAGAGATAGAACCGAAAAGGGAGAAACTTCAAAAACAAGGCCGGAAACACAAGGTCCCAAGAGGAAAAGGGGGACAGGTGTAGTGGCTATTAGGGGTCCTTCTTCCTTTCTTTTCAAAGTGTAGATATAGCTGACATATCATATTAGTTTCAAGTGTATAACATGATTCCATATGTG